AAAGAGACCAAAAGCTACTTGCTGCTGCGCTCTTTGAAGGCTCTGCAGTCACCACCAGCACCACACACACACACACACACAATCGTTGAGGCCTGAGCGGATCCACCACAAGGAGGGAAGGAAGGGAATGAGTGAGCAGTGGCACATGCTTAACATGTCCCGGCACCTGTCTTCGTATTGGGTGCTTCTTCTTTGCGTGCTGTTGATATGCTTTGGAAGTACGGCTGTGGATGCCAAAGAGAGAAGTACGCCAAAAAAAGTGCAAATACAAAAAGCTATCAATCTTTTTGTGCCTCATCGAACGATTGTGGAAGCACAAGGTGAAAGCCATACAATGAATTATTTTGTCTCACCTTCCCTCGCCAGTGCTGGTGGAGTGTTGGCCGCTTTTGCTGAGGGTCACACCGACTCTCAACACGCCCATCAGAAAGAAACTTGGCCCATTTATGTTGATGTTGTGGCGGGGTACATTGACTCTGCGGAGAGCTGGTCCTCTTTTGTTGATGAGGTCCGTGCAAACAGATGGAAGACTTACAACATCTTTCACACGACCACGCAAGAGGAGCACAACGACTATCTGAGATACGCGTACAGACCCACAACAATTGCAAAGGACAACAAGATCTTCCTACTTGTGGGAAACTCTTATCAGAAGTACGATCCTTCATCGAGGAACCGCATTGAAGTCTCACAGGGTCTTGATTTGTTCGTGGGTGAGGCCACGCAAGATAAAGTCATTCAATGGGGCAAATCCACCTCGCTTGTACCACAAATCGAACCATCTGCTAAACAGCGTGGCGTGAAGGAAGTTCTAGGTGGTGGTGGCTCGGGCGTTGTGATGGAGGATGACACGTTTGTGTTTCCTGTGACGGCGAGAAGGACAGGAGACAACGAAGCTGTGTCTATGATCATTTATTCGAAGGACGACGGCAAAAGTTGGGTGTTTTCACAGGGGATGCTCCCCGTGGGGTGCACTGACCCCCTCATCGTTGAGTGGGAGCAGGGGCAGCTTCTCATGATTGCCCAATGCGATTCGCTCTCCAAGATGTTCGAGTCGAGGGACATGGGGGCAACGTGGAGGGAGGCTGTCAGCACACTCACACGCGTGCATCCCAGGTTTTTACCAGACGCTTGGCGAACAGCTGAGAGAGTGACATCGCTCACCACTGCGACCATTGCTGGAAAGAAGGTTATGCTGTACACTCAGAAAGGGATTCCCCCTGGGGACACGTTGCAAGCCACCGCCCTCTACCTTTGGGTCACTGACAACAACCGCACGTTTCACGTCGGGCCCATTTCCATGGATACTACAGAGAAGCCGATGTTAGCCAACACCTTGATGCACTCGAAAAATGCGTTGCACCTTTTACAAGAGAGGGTAAGTACAACGACCACAGGTCTGATTCTTGCTCCCCTAACAGAGCAGCTGAAGACGATCACGTCCGTCTTGGAGACTTGGGCAAAAATGGACTCCTTCCTCTCCGAGTTGTCAGTGCCCACGGCCGGTCTGGTTGGGTTCTTGTCGGGTGCATCAGGTGAAGGAAGTTGGAACGACGCGTACCGTTGCTTGAATGCAACTGTGACGAATGCAACGAAGGTCGAAAATGGCTTTAATTTCACGGGGTCCGAATCATACGCCATGTGGCCGGTGAACATGCGGGCGCATCACTATGTGCACAGCGTTGTGAATTACGAGTTTGCGCTCGTGGCGACGGTGACGATTCATAAGGCTCCGAACGGGAGCGTTCCTCTGCTGGGCTCGGGCCTGAATGACAAGGAAAGCACGACGTTTGTGGGGCTGTCGTACACCACAGAGAAACGGTGGGGGACAGTCTTCAACGGCGTCACGAGAATAACACACAACAACACTTGGGAGCCGGGGAAGGAGTACAAAGTGGCGC